GGGACCAAAAAAAAAAAAAAAAAAAGTCAAAATAATCAAAATAACATCCCATCTTCCTCTGTTCTAATACAATAACATGTACACTTATCTCATTACTTAAATTTAGTTATTTTCACATTTATTTCCTATATTGGGCTATGAAATCTCTTGGGAAAGGATTGAATATTATTTACCTTAAGAACCTCAATTCTTTAAGCAGTGCCTGGCACAGGGTCAGTGCAGGACAATTATTTATTGAAAGATTAAAGTCACTGAAACAACGCTTTTTCTTATGTAACATCACACACACACACATATATATACTTATCCTATATAATAAAAGGGTAATATGCAAATTGACCCTAACAGCAGAACAACCAGTCGCTATGACACACACTGACCACCAAGGGGCAGATTCTCAATGCAGGAGCTGTTCCTTGGTGATTAGTGCACTCCCACAGGGGGAACTCCACTCAGCCACAAGCTGGGCTAATGGCTGTCAGTGCAGTGGCGTGGCAATGGTGGGAGCCTCTCCACCTCCTCCATAGCCTAAGCCGCAGTCGGACATCCCCTGAGGGCTCCCAGAGGGATGTCTGACTGCCAGCTTAGGCCCGATCCCCTGGGGAGTGGGCCTAAGCTGGCAGGTGGACATCCCCCGAGGGGTCCCAGACTGCGAGAGGGCTGAGGGACCTCTCCACCCCACCGAGTGCACGAATTTTTGTGCACCAGGCCTGTAATATATATATAGACAGAGAGAGAGACAGAGAGAGAGTCAACATATAAAGTCAATATAAAAACTGAACAAATGATTTAAAATACCATGTCTATTGTTTCTTCGGAAAATATACATGCTAAATTTTTCATAATGTTAGAGAACATTTACTGTGGCTTTAAAAAGTTTCAAAATTAATTACTAATTCAAGATTTTAAACACAAATTTATACAAATTATAACTGATAAAATTATTAGTACTTAGAGAAATAATTTTGGAGAGGTCTTTTAATTATAATATTGAACTTTTAAAGTACATCACTGATTAATGAATCAAATTTTAAAAAGTCTTTTTTGGCCTTTCTGACCAGTGTCTGCAAATTCATATGGTGTACATTATGGTTTCTCTTGCATTTTCATATATTAAATAAGATATTGTCATACTTGTATAATAAGCCTTTTAACAGGATACTAACAAAGTCTGTAGTTAAAAAGAGTGAAAACTCTTTCATGTTGAAAATTCATTATCACTAGATAATACACACATTGATCTGCAATGTGAAACAATTACTGGAAAAATGAAACCTTCAGAGGTAAATAATTTCTGTATTTTATTATTTATTTATTTATTAATATATATTTTATTGATTTTAGAGAGGAAGGGAGATAGAAACATCAGTGATGAATCATTGATAAGCTGCCTCCTGCACGCCTCCTACTGGGGATTGAGCCAGCAACCCGGGCATATGTCCTTGACCAGAATCGAACCTGGGCCCTTCAGTCCACAGGCCAACGCTCTAGCAACTGAGCCGAACTGGCCAAGGCAATTTCTGTATTTTAAAATAGGTATCTACACAGAGCCAAAATAACAATTACTGTAATGGAAGTTATCTAATATGACCCTTTGAAAACTGGTCATCCAGACATCATCCAGCCATCTAATAAATACTATAGATAATTCATTGTGTAAGTTCTGTTTTAATTGCTTTTTGAAGATTCTCCAAATAGCTACATCTCTCTTAAAAGTACAGAAATCCAGCTAGGCACTATGCTTTATTAAGGGCCTGACAAATTTGAAAAAATATTATTTTCAGGCTTTTACATATGAAAGTTCAGCTACTATTACAAGTTCACATTAACTTTAAAAATAACCGCATTCTATTTCTGACTTATATTTAACTGAGAATTAAAGAACCACCTTTTTTGCACAACTACTAACATGATTACTTTTTACTTTTAGTGCTTTCAGTTTGTCTTTAGTCATTATCTGACAGATTATTTACATTGTATATTGCCTCTAGTATCATCCAACGTGTTTTAAATATACTCATTTCTTTTTTACCAGCATAAATAATTTATTGCAAAATCTCTAGTGTCGTACACTAGTGGGCCTGACAATTCATTCAAGAGTATTATGGGATGGCAGAAGCAGGAGGTAGGGAATACAATAAAAGTGTAACATGTGAACATAGAGTGCTGAGGGGCAGACTTCATGCAATAGCCTACTGGTGACCAATTTTAATCAACTAAGCTACCTTGGGCAGGAAGGAACTGGACCAGGCCATGAACCCTGTTCTCATTTGGCCAGTACACCCCAGGTTTCTGGCCTTCCTTTGTGCTTCCTCACTCATAGTCCTATGGGGGATTTGATAAGATTTCTAGCTGCCAGGCTTGTGAAGCTACCAATTGACCACGGGGTCCCCAGTCTACAAGAGAAACTCTACAAGAACTTGGGCCTTTATTGAAGCTTCTTCAGACAGGAATGGCTGGAATCTTACAGAGTACATCGTCCATCCTAATAAAAGAGTAATATGCAAATTAACTGTCACTCTACAACAAAGATGGCGGTGCCCATAGAGGCTGGGGTGGGACGCTGGCGGCGTCACCCAGGCAGTGCAAGCCCAGCAGGCAAGTGCGGCCCATAGGCAGCATCCAGCAACCCGGGAGCAGGCAAGCGCGGCCCGCAGGCAGCACCAAGCAGAGCCTGCATGGCCATCATCGTGGTGTGGAGCAGGCAGGCCCTGCAGAGAACAGAGAACCACGGGGAGTGGGCCTAAGCCATCAGTAGGACATCCCTGAGGGCTCCTGGATTGGAGAGGGTACAGGTCGGGCTGAGGGACCCCCCACCCCCATGCACAAATTTCGTGCACCTGGCCTCTAGTTCTATAATAAACATCATTGATAAGCATAATAAGGAAACTATGAGTAAGTGTGAAATGCATACCAATTAGTAAGATACAAGCCACGCTCTTATAGGACATCACTTCATAAATTCTTAGAGGAGAACATTGCATGATTCTTGAAGTTGGATGGTTTTACTAAACTAACCTATAAGAAAAAAAAACTTCCTCCCAAAAAAACCTACTCATATTTGATTATAAAAAAAATCAAAGCAAAATCTTGTTGCTCTCTAAAAACATTCTTAAATTAATCCCAACTTTATACAAGTCCACTTTCTAGGAACATGCAGGGTATTAGGCATATTCATTTTAAAACATTTCTAAATACAAATATAAATCAATAAAATTTGCATTTCAAAATTAATGAAGAGACACTGGATCATTATACCAATTTCTAGTACCTATCTACATTGTAGACACAGAGTGCTGAACATGACTTGGTGTGCTTATAAACACACACAATGCTTTTTATTTTTATTTTATTTTTTTTAATTTTTATTTTTTTATATATTTTATTGATTTTTTACAGAGAGGAAGAGAAAGGGATAGAGAGTTAGAAACATCGACCAGCTGCCTCCTGCACATCTCCTACTGGGGGTGTGCCCGCAACCCAGGTACATGCCCTTGACCGGAATCGAACCTGGGTCCTTTCAGTCCGCAGGCCAACGCTCTATCCACTGAGCCAAACCGGTTTCGGCACAATGCTTTTTAAAAGTTTAAATTATTTTTCTCTATACTTCGAGGTAAATGATGCTGGAAAAATAAATGTTTTTATGTGCTGCACTATTTATCCATATTCTTTTCTTCCTCCTATTTTTAGCCTCTTTATCTATTTAATTTACATTCACATTACTACTGCCTTTCTAGATATTTTCTCATTATATTTACTTCTGATACTCTAATTTTATACTCATGCTAAGTAAGTGAATATATTGCTAATTGAGATCCCACTTATTGAGAATGTTTAATAAACTGCACATAGCCTGTATTTGCCGCTTCATGTATTCAAACTGAGTGAATTATATCAAACCATAATTATATAAATATAAATAAAACAAAGCACTAGTTTCAAGTTGTTGAAAATGTAGTTGAATTGATGACATAAATAATAAATAAAAAGTTTAAATGATGGCAGTATCTGAAAAGTAACATACAATTAGTAAATGGGAAAACTATGTGACCAGCTTTGTAGTCAGTTCCAAAAGAAATACAAAAGTATAAGAAAATTTTCTGCCCTTAAAACATTTAGACTCTTGTTTAAAGATAAGACATGATATATAATATCATGATAATAATAAGATTAGCAAAATAATTTTAATAACAATAGCAATAAAATAATAATAGTAGCAATAATAATAAAAAAGTCATTAGTGTTATCGAAAGTTTCTATATACCATGCATTTACATATTTTATGTTTAACCTTTACAAGAACCTTTATTTTAGATATTAGGAAAATTATACCTAGCAAACATACTTTATTTGTCCAAGATTATGAAATAATTAACCCAATTTACATTTGAAACAAAGTTTGCCTGATTCAAAAGTGTTTATTATTAACTTTTGTTACTTTGTACTAAAAAGGAGTTTAGAGAATTATAGTAAAAGTTTGTGGCTAGTGAGCGTAGTCATGTAAGAATTCACAAGTGGTTATGCTATGACTTGGACTCTGAAGAAAGGTGTGTATTTTAGGAAAGTAAAAGACAGAAGACGAATATTTTGGGCGTTCAAGCATGGGGAATGAGATGAATGAGAAGTGTTTTTAATATTCTCTTTATTTACATAATTAAATATTATTTAAACTTTTTACTAATTCATAATAAGCTTGGTCGATGGTGAAAATTTGTGTGGGAAATTTTAATTGTGAGAGAGAAAAATAGCAAGACTTTTATTTTCTTAAACTAGCATGCCTAAATTTGAACTGAACAGAGATCAGATATTGAACAGTCATTGGAAAATAAAACCTAATTTGCTGGGGACTTGGAATAAAGACTAAACTTAAGATCTCTTCACTGGTTTTAGTGAGCATTATCAACCTATTTTATTGGGTCAAAATCATAAATTTAATGAGTATTGGTTACATGACATAATATATTCCCTTAAAAAGACAAGGAAGGACATTTAATGCTTACCTTGTATTACATGTGAGTTGTCTTTCAAGAAGAAGTTATACAGGTATTTGGGAATAAAAGCAGACATACATGCATACGCCAAGGCTAAGAAAGAATAAGGCAAATGCATGCGATAAATTATTTAACTACTATTAAATAAGTTTATGCCAATAATTGATGAAAACACAAATTTAAAGAAACAAAACCATTTGCTCTTTAAAACAGAAAATAATTTGAACAAAAGAAAACCACCTAGTAACTTTTCAATTTCAAACTACTATAGAAATTGTTATCCCATAATAATAAGAACCTTTATTATCTGAACTTTACAAATTTTTAAAAATCTCCAATCATGGCATTAATGAGCTATACAAACCAAAAGATCCTTATTTTTTGTTGATGCAAACAAAAAAGCCTCAGAACTTGGATTTAGGAACCCTAGTCATAAGTTATTTTTTTAAATACAGATTGCTTACTATTCTTCAAGCAATATGTGTAATAATGGCCTATACCTAACAAAACATAGCAAACTTGTAGTCTAGATAATGAGAAATATCATAGAACAGTGTATTTTCAAACCAATTAAAATTACAAAATTTTAGTTCTCTGGGATTATGCTATCTCTACTTATTTCCAGAAATCTATGCAAAATTTGACATGAAATAGAATTTGAAAAAAATAAAGATTTTGAGATTAAGGCTTCTAGAGAGTTACATTATATATATGGTAAATACTTTCTAAATGTGATATCTTTAGAGATTTGAGTCTGTTAAGTGTAACAAATATTTACTGAAAAATCTACTATAATAAAGGCATTATAACAGGGGAATAAAAAAACAGAAAAAAAATCAATCATTAAACAAAGCTGCTGCTGCCCTGGCTGAGTAGCTCGTTGGTTGCAGTGTCATGCCCATATGCCAAGGTTGTGGGTTCCATCCCCAGTCTGGGAACAGACAGGAATCAATCAATAAATAAATAAATAAGTGGAACAAGAAATTGATGTCTATCTGTCTGACTCTCTAAAATCAATCACTAAAAATTTTTTTAAAAAGCTGCTAACCAAAAATGGATTACTATATTAGTAATAAATAACTAGAACACAAAATATACACAAATACTTTCCTGAAATACAAAGTGCTGGGTTTAGGAGGGAGAATGAGTAAAGTTTTCATTAAGAAGGTAGTGGTTGAAATAATAGGCTTTGGAGATACAAGATTAATATGAATTCCTTTATAAATTGTTTAGGAAATATACACAGGCTAAACCTAATCTCTAAAGAAGTCAAAAATTTTCTCCTATGTTCATAAAAATGGTCACCAAAGTAGATGAATTTTTTAGAATAAAAAACTCTCCAATAATAAATTCTTCACATGCTCTAAAATTATACAACAGATTATCTCACAGATATTTATACTATCTCCTAGAAAGCAAGCAAGATCCTTATAATAAAAACAAAAACCTTTCATGTTTGAATAAAATATTTTAGTATAATATGCACCACAATTATTTAATTGATAAATAAGCTTACCTTCATTATTGAAATTTAAATATAGGAATGGAGCACAAAGTGAGTCAAGACCTGATGGGGAGGGGTTGAAGAAAAGAATTCAAATAAACATAATTAAGTAGACCTGTAGATATATACCTTATTCAGTTCTCTGCATTACCTCTCTATAGATTAAGCATTATAAGTACTATTCATCCAGAACTATATTATCTATGGGTCACGGTGGGGAGTAACTGATAATGACTAGCACATAGTATGTGCCCAACATAAATCAGCTTTTATTATTATCAATATTATTATGAGTTTAAGAGAGAAATATACTAATAGCAAAATGTAAAGATGATAGAAGGCTTGGGATATAATCCCATTTCTGACCCTGTGTGATCTTGGCAATGACTTAACATCCCCAGGCATATTTCCTCATCTTAGAGGAGATTTGTCTTACATGCTTCTTTGGTATCATGAAAAAAGACCCTTTAAAAATTGTGCAGTGAAATACAAATATGTGACATATTCCTTTTATTGATAATAATGCTGTTCATATGTTGTCATACTGAAAGAACGTACATAAATCTATCTATAATTGTTTGGAAGACACAGGACTTCTCTAAAATGGACAGAGCTAAGGAAAATAATGGCTTAATTTTAAGTTCAGCCAGAAATAGAGAATTTAAATATTAAATAACAACACTGTTCATTACAACAAATTCAAATATAGGACTGGGTGTAACGGATTTCTCATGCATGAATTTATCAATGACCTTAAAAATAATAATGAGAATGGTAAAAATCAAGGATATGGAACATTAAGGATGTTTTTTAAAGAGATAATAAATAAAATAAATAGTTTAAGGTGGTATCCTATTCCCTAATTTCCAATAAAGAGGTTAAGTATAAGTTGTAAATAATAAAAGGTAAAATATCAACTAGCCCAGTGGTTCTCAACCTGTGGGTCGCAACCCCTTTGGGGGTCGAACAACCCTTTCACAGGGGTCACCTAAGACTGTAGGAAAACACATATATAATTACATATTGTTTTTGTGATTAATCACTATGCTTTAATTATGTTCAATTTGTAACAATGAAAATACATCCTGCATATCAGATATTTACATTACGATTCATAATAGTAGCAAAATTACAGTTATGAAGTAGCAACGAAAATAATTTTATGGTTGAGGGTCACCACAACATGAGGAACTGTATTAAAGGGTCGCAGCATTAGGAAGGTTGAGAACCACTGAACTAGCCCCAAACTATTTATGCTATAAAATTATTTTATTATTTTCATAAACACTGAGACAATGTATCCACAAAGATTACAATCACACAAAATGTTCTTTCTACTTTCCTAATTAACATGATGGCAAACTGTCTCATTAAATAACATGCCTTTAAATGATCTCTACTTGGCATATAGGCAACGTTTTTTTAAAAAGTTCTCATATAAACCTTTCAATAAATGGATCATGGCTTTAGTATTGACTTTTCTCAAAGCCAAGTATGTTTTGATATTTTAATTTTTGAAACAGTCACGCAACATGCTCCCTATACTTCAAAAAGAGTCTTAATAATTGGGGGAAAAAGTTACCTTGCCAATACACCAGATCAGGATGGGATACTACCCAGGCTTTTAATACACGCCTAAATTTTGCATGACCTTCTGGTGATGATAACAGTTCATCATACTGATGACAACGAGGAATATCCACTTCAATCTGTAAAATAGCAAAACAATAAGATGAAACTGTGATTTCCAATAAACCCCAAGGTAAAGAAAAAAAATTTTATTATAAATTTCAGAATAGACCAATTACATAATCCTGGTATCTAAAGTTTTTGAATTCTATATTAACACTCTGGAAACAATAAAAAGGTTGTACACTTAAGGAAAACAGACCATTTCTTTTGAAAAGGTATTTATCAATACAGTTTCCAAAAAAATCTTTCTTTACTATATAAAGGGCAGATTCTACAGATAAAGTACAATTACTAAGAAAAGTCACTTGGCTTATACTCCTTTTAGGGACAGTTCTAATTCACTAACTTCTGATACAAAAGTTATGCTTACTCGAACAGCATGAGAATATGATGGCTGCTGAGCATAATGAAAAGAAGATAATTCCCTCTTGCCTTTCTAGAAATTATAGATTTGGCAAAATTATCTTAGATTGTTTAAGAAAATCTAAATCATACTTGTCTATCTGTAGGAATTGGAGTATCTTTATCAATTGCGTCATACTTGGCATGAATAGCCCCCTGAAAAAAATAAAGAGAATAATATTAATTCATCATATCCTCGATAAATTATTAATGTAGATAAATATACTTTTTATAATCATCTATCTTTGAAAACCCACCCAATTATAGATGGGAAGATTAAAAACCAAGGTATATCTCTTAGAAAAATTCTCTACAGTTTTGATAATCTGTGATGAAAATCCAGGACAACTTGCCATTTTGTTCCAGAAGACAAAAGTGTTGGATGAGTCAAGTAGCAAATGAATATAGTCAAACACCCTAGTTTCCACAGCACAATACAACCTTGTTACTCTCTACTCATTGTTACCTCAAACATTCAGTTTTCGGGGGAAGGAAGCACAGGAAGACATCCCACAATTTTCCTGTTAAAGTTGGTAATAAAAGAAAAAATAAAATGGACCTGTCTAAAGGAATGCTAGTTCAGCACAGGAAGCAGAAGTTTGAAATAAATTTAAGAGTAGAACATCATGTAGGTATGGAATCACTAAGGGATTAAATGAATCATTTACACTTTAGTTATACCGGTACAGAAGAAATAATTGAATAAACCATTTCAAATTTAGTCATGTTCAATAAGACCAAGCATGGAACAATTCTTATAACTTAGGTTTACTATAATGATGTAGAACGAGCCACTAATTTGGGGTTCAAAATTATGACATTACTTGCTGGTACATCAATTTCTATGGTACGTCTATTTAATGACAGATTTAGACAACCTGACCTCACAAGTCCTCTTGAACTTTAGCATTATGTGGTTCAACAATTCTAACTATTAATGTATTATATGGAACAATAGGCATTCTTGTAAAGCAGCCACCCAAACTCAAAGATGTTTGTAGAATATCATCAAAGGAATCAGGAATAAATAAATAAAATTCTTTTAACAGGGAGTTGAAAAGAATTAAAAATAGTTGAGGGAATTCAGGAAAAAAATGCATGATGGATATCCATAAGATATTGATAAGAGAATATCTGAAGGATGACAAAGAAATTGCCTGGAAATAAAAAAACAAAAACAAAACAAAACAAAAACAAACAAACCAAAAAACGGGGCAGGAATGTGGCCCATTATCATGACTGCTGTTACCGAGTTCTCTGTTAGTACTGCAAGTCACTGTAATAATTTTGGGACCTCTCCTTTCCTCACTGCCAACAGATTAGGTGTTGTACAAGACAAAGTAGTTTGTCTTGGCAGCATGGTTCTTGTGGGATAGATGTGCCAAAAAAGCACTACATTATGATAATTATTTTAAAAAATCTATATTCCCATTTATTTCAGAGAGGAAAGGAGAGGGAGATAGAGATAGAAACATCAATGATGAGAGAGAATCATTGATCGGCTGCCTCCTGCACGCCCCTACTGTGGATCGAGCTTGCAACCCAAGCATGTGCCTTTGACTGGAATCAAACCCGGAACCCTCCAATCTGCAGGCTGATGCTCTATCCACTGAGCCAAACCAGCTAGGTCTGTTAATGATTTTTTATAAGGTTCAAATTGATGGAGGATTTCTCCAAACTTAGAGCCACTTATAAATAGACAATCCTATTCCTAAATAAACATACACATACTTTATAGGCAGGATAATATGCTTATAACTGGTATATATAGTCTTAAAATAATCTGATTTGAAAATTAATCAAAATAATTTCTATGAGCTCCATTAAATGAAATATTAAATAATATAATTCTAACAAATCTTCAATTATATTTTGTTAATCTATTCTTTTTCTCTAGTCCTTTCATTCAAAATTGCCAAATATTCTTAAAGCTTATATTTTACTACATAACTTTCTAACTATTTGAAAAATATATATTTGGAAAGTACTTTCCTACTTCTTTCTTCTTTCTTAGCACTATTATAACCAACTTCTTTCTCTTTTCTTTCTTACCTCAACTCCCAGAAGAGCAGCCCAGGTTAAACCTCTCATAAGTGGAGGAATATCAACTCTTGCTTCTTTCCAGATTTGATTTTTTTTATATGGATAAGCCTACAGATGAAAGAAAGATATGAAAAATGTCTCAAATTATCAAGTAGCATATTTTAGTCTAGAAAGTCTGGAATATATATCAATGATAAAGTTGAAAGAGATTTTAAATAAATTTCAAAGTATCTTTGGTGTTATTACTTTGGTATTATTAATACACTAAGAGGCCTGGTGCATGAAATTTGTGCACTTGGGGGGGGTGGGAGGTTCCTCAGCCCAAATTGCAAGAGGGCGCAGGCCAGGCTGAGGGTCCCCGCTAGAGCATGATGGGGGCCGGGGAGGGATGCAGCAGGTTGGCCAGCTGGGGAGGAACTGTGGGGGGACTCCAGGGCATGTCTGGCCCATCTTACTCAGTCCTGATCAGCCGGACCCCAGCAGCAAGCTAACCTACTGGTTGGAGCATCTGCCTCCAGGCGGTCAGTGCACATCATAGTGACTGGTTGACCAGTTGACTGTTTGCCCCCTGATGGTCAGTGCATGTCCTAGCAAGCAGATGAGTGGCCTTAGCATATCATTAGCATTTTTACGCTTTGATTGGTTGAATGGACGACTGGACAATTGGACACTTAGCATATTAGGGTTTTATTATATAGGATATTAAGTTGGCAGTGGAATGGTTCCCTATATTCTGTAAATATTGTATAATATAACCAAGAGGTGAGCTGATTCTACTGTTTTTAATCATTTCTCTCTTCTCTCTATTTTGTGATCTGAAAGAATTATAAAGGAGTCATGTGTAAATAATACTATCAGCTTCATATGGGTTAAATAACTTTGTAAAATATCAGGTCATATAGAAAGTATTCAATAAATGTGTTATTATTATGGCTACTTCTATATCTTTGCATATAAATTTGTACTTTAAGAGCGACTTTAAGAGAGAGTTCTAGAAAAGAATTATTAGGACAAAGGGTATGGATATCATTAAGGCTCTTCATATATACTTTTAAATTGCCTTATGCACTGTTTCAATTTACACTTATTACAAAGGAATGAGAGTTCCAATCTTAATATGCCTTTGTTCACTTTATTAATTTGGTTATCAAAAAAACCTATTAAAATTTTTTTCATTCTTAGTGAGGATAAATATTTTGAATAGATTTATCCTAACTAGTTATATTTCCATTATTTTCTTTATCCATTTCTCTTTCAATATTAGTGCTTTTTCCTGTAGATTTTTAAATGTTCTTTAAACAGTATGGATATTAATCTATTATCTAATATGGTTTTTCATATAATCCTACATCATTTTTACTTTTTTACATTTGTTTTTACTTTGAAGTTTTATTTACTATGAATATATATCATTTTGGTAATTAAATGTTAATCAGAAAAGATAGGCTATAAAAATTAGTTTTTTTATGACATCAAGATTCTCTAATAATTACAAATGAAATAAAAAATAAGTATTGTATATGGGCTCTTAGAACACTTTCCACATTAGATCCCTACCTTTAGCAGCCTGTCAAAGAGAACGATTCTGTTAAGCTGGTACTCTGTGTCCCTCTCTCGGATGATTAAAGGCAACGTGGCAGCAGCAGACAACTCATTACTGCTGTTTGAATGAGGTAAATTAGACTGGCTATAAAAGAGAAACAAAAGGCAAAAAATTAAAAAAAAACACCGCCATATTAAGTGTTTTATTTAGGAAATGCTCTTCATTGAACATATATGTTTCTTACCAATCTTACCAATCTAACATAAACGGTGAAGAAAAATAAGTGTAAAAGGAGACTCTATATACTCACTCATCTTCAAGCAGTGGGTAAAATGCTTCTCCACCAACATCTTTTAATCTCTGTGATTTAAAAGAGAAAATATTATGTGTGAGACTCTGAGGCAGAAACGCTGAACCGCACTTAAAAAGAAACATAATATAAAATTTATGAATTTATATGAGGTACTGAGAAGCATAAAATTTAAAATCCATTCCAATCATAAATATACAAATATATTATGCCTCTAGTGATTAAGTTTAGCTCTGAACAATAGTTTTTATACATTGATTATTTTTACCTACAGGTGTCTCTTGTAAATGTTAGACATCAACTATGATATTTTCCAAACACAATTCAGAATTACTGAAATTAGTATAAAATTTAATACATGGATAATACATTTTTAAATTATACTAGAGGCCCGATGCACGAAATTTGTGCAAGAGTAGGCCTTCCTTCCCCTGGCTGCCGGCACCAGCTTCTCTCTGGCACCCAGGACTCAGGCTTCCCTCCAGCCACCGGCAGGCACCCTGGACCCGGGCTTCCCTTGCAGCCCTGGCTTCGTCTGGAAGGTTGTCTGGAAGGATGTCTGGTCTAATTAGCATATTATGCTTTTATTATTATAGATGAAGGTTATTTTAAAAGGTACTTTAAAAATATATACCCCTTAATTTAAAACTCAATTCAATTCACTTATTTTTACTTTGTAATTAATACAAACTAAGACAATAGTAAGGGTACTAATAAAATAAAATTCAAAAGAATTTTTCACAACATATTTTGAATATGTATGATTCAAATATTGATGAGTTCAATTCTCTTAATTATCTTTTTTAAAAGTCATTATAAAATGTTTCTCCAATAATAACATAACATGCAGGATTATAGGTATTCTTCAAAAACGTAAGAAGACAGGCCATAGTATAGTAAAATCTTAGACACATCCTAAGCAGGGCGATTAAAGTTATCGCCACCTTGCCTGCTGCTCTGCTCTTCAGTGCAACTCCCAACTTGAAGATAGAATGTCTGCTCCTATGGGATTCACACAGAGGTTCAAGCTCCGTGTGCAGCTGGCACTGACCTTCTATTGATTAGAGTCCCTACGCACTTCCATTAACATTATTCACAGTATTTTTAAAAGCCAAAAAAAAAATATTTCCTCCAACACTGAGAATCTGGCAAACACTGGTTTTATGCATGGCTTCTTTCTAAAATTTGACATGCCATGTATGCACTTATCCTATTTTGCCTTTAAATCTTTAGGTATTTCTTTCACGGATAAAAATTCTAAGTAGAAAACTAGTATTTCCCCAAGTTTGACTGTATTATTAGTATCTAATTTTTAAAGTTTGAGTTTACTATCCTTTAGAGCATAAATATTACTTTTAGATCTATCTTCTGCTATTTTTTATTAATTAACATTTTAGCATATCAAAGGCAAAAAAGGACAAAAACACTTGTACAGAAAGTGTAAGGTAAAAGTTATTCTTTGGTTTCCATATTACTTTAAAAATCAGCAATGTTAACATTTTTTCTAATATTTATAGAAAAAATATTTTTTTTGTTTTTGCAAATAAATTTTTAATGAAATCTTTTAGAACAAAATATAGAACATTATACAAAATATATTTATAATCTTGGTATAACTTTAAATAAGTAACAGTAAGTAAAATATAACAAAACATAGTGAACTATAAAAACACTGATAAAAGAATTCTATTAATTAAAAGATACTATTCAAAAAATTAAAGAAGCCACAGATTAGAAGAAATTTGCAACACATATAGCCAACAAAGACCCTGTATTTGGAATACATTTTAAAAGCCCTCAACTCAGTAAGAAATGACTCAAAAAAATTGGCAAAAGATGAATCAGTCACACACAGAAGAGGTAAGTAAACAGTCAAAAAACATGAAAGAACTCATATCTACACTATAACCATGGAATTAAACACTATAGCAAAAATACCATTCTGGTCCTTTTGGAGCAATAATTTTTAAAAAATTTGATGATACCATGTATTACCAAGTATGTGGAGAAATGAGAACTCTTATGATGGTACAAAGGTAAACAAATAAAACCACCTTTTGAGCGATGAGACAATATATATATACTAAAGCTGAAGATGTACAGATGCATTTCCAATAATGCTGTACGTGGGCTCATACATTAAAGAAACTCTCTTATATTTTGAAATTAGGGAGGAATTCAAGGCTTCATGTGTATCTGTAAGGTTTCCTTTAAAAAAAAAAAAGGATCTCAGGCAAGTCTGCTAAAATAACAATCTTACATTTCTTAGCTGGCATAATGACAATGTCACAGTGGTATCATCCAATAGTGAGCTTCTATCTCGACCTTGTCCAAAGCTTTCACCATCTTCAAAGAGAAAACTAGAAGAAATTTTTAAAAATTATTATTTTAATGGGTACACAAAATCCAATTTAGTGTTTCTTCTACAAAAGAAATTTTATTCTAAATCATGAACTCTTTCATGAAAGAAAGAAATTTTAGATTTAATGGGTTAATAAAAATATAACTGCTGTCTGAAAATTCTCTAAACAATTCTAATTTTAAAATATACGTTGAGTAAGTATGAATATAGTGCATAAAGCATTTTAGCAACATCAGAGTGTGATTTACACTGTATCTTAAGTCAGATTCAACACAAAAGTTACTTTGCTGATACTATTCAAATGTGACCCTGAGAAAGTATATATGAGTGAAGAATGATAAAGTGAGAAAAAAGAAAAACCTTACATAATGACCGTGATTTCACAGGGGAAAGGATATCAAATAATAAATGTATGCAATTTGTTTAGAATTTCAGAAAATTACTTTTGAGATTTTATATATCCTTTAAAGTATTTATTCTTAGAATTTCTCTCATCTTATTTCTTGATTTTCTACCTAACTCAATGTGCACAGTATAACTGAAGTTAATATTGAAAAATTAGTTTAAGAGAGAAAAAAGTAGAGAGCCAATGGTCTATTCAAATAATTAACCTAAAATTTAACATGTGAGGGAAAGAAATGATCAGCAGGTGATTTCTACAATAACCTACAATGATAAAATCTAGTCCGAAAATCTAAAATTAAAATGCTAGAGCATTGGTGGAAACTCAAGAGATTCAGATTCACATCTACATGAATAAATGTTAAGAGCAAGGGAACAGCCATAACCTTGTCCCTTAGGGTTGTATTGTTATTTAAATTCCAATCTAACGTACAGAATAGTGTCCAGGATCTTGTGCAGTTGTGCAGATTTTGCTCAACACTGACTTAGCACTTTAATGATCTCTAAGACAAGCAAGTACCTCATATTTATGATTTATAATTGCAAATAGAAAATAGTTTCTCATAATAGGCACGTTAGCTGAATAACTCTTGAATATTATTGTTTTTTCTGACTTGTACCTTTTTCATTTATTGAACATCAATTATTACAAGGTATTCCATAATAATAACTTCATATGGAGATAAGCATATTACTTGTTGATGAGAATTTAATGACACTTCATTAAAAAAAATAAGTTGCTAACATCCAATAGCTGTGATAAACACTTAGTTGGAATGGCTATCCAATTTTTTTAAAATTTATTACTACATTTTTTTTAAATTTCCAACATTTTTCTTTTCTTACTTGGGGAGTGTGCAGATAGGTGGTTTGGATCGAATGATTTCCTTGTTGATAAGCTCTTTCTCCAAGTCACCTCCAGCTAAACACCAAAGGTAATACACTTCCTCAATTGATCTTTCTGCCAGGTAATCACTGTTTACATCTATTAATGGCAAATTAAAGAGAATCACAGTTATCTCATTTTTTGTTTTTATTAAAAGGCAACAGACAATAATAGTTAATATTCTAAAACAGTAAAAACTTAAAAGCATAGTAAGATATCCTTAAGGATATACATACTAAAAAATGCACAGAATATGAAATGTACATTCAGTTTCTTGAGAAAAAGTGGAATTTTTACCACCTGGGTCACAGATATATCAGGTATATCTAAGATATCGTGTTCTATGTAAAAGGATTAAGGGCAGAAAAACATGGAGTAGGCAAACAATACGAACTGCCCTATCTTTCATGTCTTGAGTCAATTGCTGCCTCTTTGGAGAAGTCTTTCTTGATATCTCACACAGGCTATGCTTCCATTCTGCTATGTTCATACAGACCTTCATTTGTAATCATAATTCTGTGACTAAATGTCTGTCTGCCTCACCATTTGGCATGAATGTTACTTGAAGGTACAGTGTGTAAAGCAAAGTAGAAACTCAATAAATATTTAATTGAATGAATGGTTAGTAACTATTTCTTGCTATGACTTATTTCATAACTTTTCAGTATAAGAGTAACTTACTGGTGTCACTACAGCACACATTCTGAGAGGTGTAAATATCACAGAGAGATAAAAAGACAAAAGCTGATATTCTATTAAACTGTGAAGTATAATAGTATGAATGTTCTATCAACAATACAATTTTTAGAGATCATTTATAATAGATTGTCTATCTGTCTGTCTATCTATCTATCTATCTATCTATCTATCTATCTATCTATCATCTATCTATCTATCTAAAAGCCTAAGCGACCAAATAACCAAATGACCGGTCGACCAGTCACTATGATGCACACTGACCACCAGGGGACAGATGTTCCTGTCTGGATTGGGCTCCCTCCTGTCTGGATCAGGACTGTGGGGATCGGGCTGAAACCGTCTATCCGACATCCCCCGAGGGGTCCCAGATTGCGAGGGCACAGGCCAGGCTGAGGCACCCCACCGCTGCACGAATCTGTGCACCAGGCCTCTAGAATGATATATAAATGTTGATGTAATGAAAATTCCATTGGGAATTAGAAGACCTGATTGTAGTATAAAGATTTGAGATGAAAATGGAAATTTGTTTTGCATAGTAAATTTTTGTGTGGTACCACATCCTCTCCTTGATTCTTAAAGTTCCTGCTCAAAAGTAATTTAAATTGAAAGGATTAAAAGTTAGATTAGTTATATAAAATGCTATGTTAAACATGCCCAGAGTTACCTCTTAATTCCAAGATAAGTGTCCATAAAGTCTCACTAATGTATTACATATATTGTTGATACTTTCAAAACTAGGATAAGAGTACTCCCTTTAAAAACAAGGCTTATATTATTGCTTATTCTTATTTATCATTACCTTTACACAGCTGACTGATATCCTCAGGCAGAGTTAAGTCAGCACATCTCAGAGAAGATGAAAACAAACTGACAGGTTTTGTAAATGGGGTGTATAAAGGTGACACTTCACTGAACACTTTGTCCTGCATTAATTCATCTGGGGTTGGCCTTGAGAAACATTTAAAATACAGAGCATGAACGAAAGCCATTAGAATTTTCCTAGAATAATTCAAAGGAATAGTTAAAAGTCTTAAATACCTCATTAGCACATCCTATATAATAAAAGCCAATATGCTAAGTGTCTGACCATTCATTCGACCAGTCACTATGATGAGCACTGACCACCAGGGGGCAGACACTTCAACCAGTAGGTTAGCTTGCTGCTGGGTCCGGCCAATCGGGACTGGGAGAGATGGGCTGGACATGCCCTGGGGTCCTCCTGTGGTCCCTCCCCAGCCCCGATCGTGCACTGGTGGGGTCCGACCTCTCAGGGCATGTCCGCAGGCCAGGCCGAGGGACCTCACCAGTGCACGAATCCATGCACCAGCCTCTAGTAATATAATAAAGCCCTCCTTCATGGAGTCTAAAAGTATCTTATATAATAGAAGGCTAATATGCAAATAGATTGAACGGTGGAACGATCGGTCACTATGACACGCACTGACCACCAGGGGGCAGATGCTCAACGCAGGAACTTCCCTCTGGTGGTCAGTGTGCTCCCACAGGGGAAGCAGCGCTCAGCCAGAAGCCAGGCTCTCAGCTGGCGAGCACAGCAGCGGTGGCAGGAGCCTCTCTCGCCTCCGTGGCAGTGCTAAGGATGTCCGACTGATGGCTTAGGCCCACTCTCTGCATAGAGCGGGCCTAAACTGTCAGTCAGACATCCGCTGAGGGTTCCCGGAATGTGAGAGGGCGCAGGCTGAGCTGAGGGACTCCCCGGAGTGCATGAATTTCGTGCACTGGGCCTCTAGTACGTTTATAAAACAATCAAGTGACTGTAGGTAGTAAATACTAAATTTTTTACCTTTGTTATGTTTTTTACACCTTGTGATCTACCAAAACTATTATATATGAGTGTCTCAATTTTAGCTTGATTACCATATATCTGCTTTACTGAATATATCAAATAATAAAATTATACACTAACAATACCTCTTAGTTTCTTCCTATACTTAGTTTAATGTGGCCTATTTACCCAAAACTATGCTTTTAATATCATTACTTTCTTCCTAACATGCCTTGACAAAAATGTTTGTCTAAAGACAAATTAGAATACATTTTTATTATTTTTAAATATTATATACCTGAGGGAGCTTAGGAACAACTATATGGCTAACAATGACATCATCAAATGAAAAGAAATAATACAACTTCTAAGAAATCCTTTTATGTAATCAACAGTTGTTAGCTTACCTCACCATTTATCCAAGTCTTTTGCTATAATATATAGTGCCAATAAACTTTTGTTCTCATTTCTCTTCTATCATTCTAATCGAGGAATATGTATACCTCACAGTTTAGCTGATTTTTTTTATATTGGAGACTAGGAAATGAACCAGTAACTTCTTTTGGTATATTCTAGTTTTCTGAGCATGCCTTAATTATTTTTTCGTCTTTTATTAACATATATTAAAGCCATTACTAACAGTTATTACTATATATATATAAATATGCTTATAAAATCCATTGGCATTAAAACCAGCAAGAAAAAAAATTAACTACTTATATGTTAAGGATCTGTGTAATCCCAAACTCTTAATATCAACCTCTTGGAAGGGTGGAAGGTCAGACATTTCTTCAAAAGATCTATCACATTTTCAGGAAGCTCCTGGTAAATAAAGAGAAAAAAGAACTATTTACAATGACCAATCTTAAAAATAAATTTTAGGAGAGGAGCAATAGAGGGTGGAAATGAGATACCTGTAATAATATCAACAATAAAAAATACAGTAAAAAGTAAATTTTACTCAAATGTTAGCTAACCTAGGATATTTTTATTTATTTATTTTTGTTCTAAAGATTTGTGTTTACCTGACAAACTCAAATGTTTTGTTCTTTCATCTTTATTATTTTTTCTTTTTAATTAAACTTATTGGGGTGACATTGGTTAATAAGATAATATAGATTTCAAGTGTACATCTCTATGATATATCATCTTCATATTGCATTGTGTTTTGATTTTTTATAAAGTCTTTATTTGGACTTTTCCCAAATAAACACAGCTTTAAAATAGCTTGCTATTGGATCCCAAATATGCAAAATAAACAAACTTTCAATAACAGATTAACCACAAACCTTTATAATGTCCAGGCAACCATGCTCTTCAGCCAGAACTATTATAGTGTCATCCACGCAGTCTATAAAATAGAAAAAATGTAAGAATGAATGCTGCTGTTCTAATTTATCAGACATACTGGGTACTGAACTTTGATACTTTTAAAAAATATTATGTAATTCTGTTTTGGAACCTGGAATATTAAAAAGTTTGTGATTTTTTAAACTTTCCCTATGTATAGTGGTAAAAATAAAGACTTCAAACACTAAATTTTAATTGAATCATAGATACTGAAATAAAGCCGCCTAATTGTAAGTGAAATAAAGCAGTGATCAAAGGAGATAAAGATTCTTGTCCATGCTTTTTCACTATATCTGTGTATTTTAAAAGGTTTTATTATCTTTTCATGATTATAAAACTAATTTATTTTTATTATATACAATTTGGAGAATGTATACATTTCTCTGAGGACTTAAAGTATAAGTTTGGTCTGCAGATGACATTTAGAAATCTCCAAGACTCCTTAACAGCTATATTATCACTTTAAAATTAAATGTGGTAAATATGGTAAAATTTTATGGCATTTTATTTATAATTCATTAGTATTAATATTTATTAATAATATTCTGTACATATTATTTGTATATTCTATTAACCTGTAGATCAATTTACATAAAGTGCTCTATCACTCCTTTTCTTTTTTTTACCATACATGCTTATAATTTATTCCACTCTAAAGTAGATACACACATTTTTATAAATTTGAATTGCAAATATTTATATCAAATATACATGTAAAACATATGAACTTGTTATAAGGAAAAATAAACATTATTCTTGACCCGTTCACATATGAATCATCAAAGAGAAAGCTCCAAAGTTGATATATTATTTCACGGCAAACTGCTAGAGAAAAATATAATTTTATAGTCTCACTCTTTGATTTCACATGTTAGTTTACTGGGCTATCATAAGGCTAATTTTACATCCATCCACAGCATAATTCCTTAGTAAATAAGGAAAGCTCTACTATAATTCATCTACAGCACTTCTTAAATTGTCCTGTTAATGCTTATCACTGATCATTAGAAAATTAAAGAAAGTTAGGATATTTCAGTGTATTTGATTACTAACACTCAGTAAAGATTATATTTATATTTGAAATATAACTGCAAGACACTTACCCAATGTAAGCAAAAATTTTAGTCTTTCAGAAACATCCAAGCTCTGAAATAATTTTCTTCCCTAAATAAAAGGGAAAAGAATTCATGTAAACATTTGCATGTTTTTTCTTAGGAGGCCTTTTTTTTCAGAGCTGAAAATAATTTTATCAGGTACTTCTATTTCTCTTCAGAAGTTTTATTAGATTTTTAAAGTTAGTTCCATTAAAGAAAAATTATTGGTTAGGTAATGATTTTTTAAATATTACATAATATTTAACATTTAAACATTTTAGTTTGATCTCAAGCACTGTTCACTTTTGAGACTATACATACTTGAATGTCTAGATGGATTCCAGGCTACCAGGAATGTTATTAAGAGTACAAGATTCCTCCTGGGAAGGATTCAGATTACCCTTTCATCTGCCCAACTAATCCTTACTTACATATTATAATTCAGGCAATCTGTTGTCTCTATTGAGACACATTCCATGACACTCCCTTCTCCCACAATAACTTAGCCATCCTTTGTGCTCACAGAGCAACTGGTATATTTATTTTAAGACACATACATTATATTTTAATTGTTTCTTTTTAAAATATGTATATAGTTTTATTGAATTCATAGAAGAAGGGAGAGGGAGAGAGAGACAGAAACATCAATGATGAGAGAGAATCATTGATCAGCTGCCTTCTGCATGCCCCATACTAGGGATAAAGCCTGCAACCCAGGCATGTGCCCTGACCGGGAATCGAACTGTGACCTCCTGGTTCATAGGTCGACACTCAACCACCGAGGCACACTGGTCAGGCTTTAATTGTTTTCTTTATTGGCTTCAGGGGGCTCCTTGGAATGCAGTCTGGAATCAAACACTTATAACTTCAGTGACTATATGCCGAACAACTATTGTGTGTCAAATTTGATATTCTACTACCAGTTACACAAATTGGACAAATTACTTAACCACCTAAGCCTCACTTTTCTCATCTATTAAAATTGAATATTTACAGTAAGGGTTATTTATATAATGTATAAAAATACATAGCATTTTCTGCACATAGATATGCTTCATAAATGTTTAGTATTATGTTTTTCTTATAAACAAATTAAAAATTATGTCCCTTAAAATAGACTTAGAATATGAAAGCTTAAGAAGAGATAGCATGGTTTTTATAGAGAGAAGATGAAATTCTGATTTAAAAAGAAAAAAGAAAAAAACTTTCTCAAAGACTTATAAAATTAGAAATGCAGACCTGGATAGTTTGGCTCAATGGATAGAATGTTGGCCCTAAGACTGAAGGATCCCAGGTTCGATTACAGTCAAGGGCACAAAACTTATGCAGGCTCGATCCCACCCGGGTCTGGGTGCATAGGGGAGGCAAACAATTGATGTCTCTCTCTCTTTCTGTCTCTCCCTCTCCCTTCCTCTCCCTTTAGCAATCAAGTGTAAATTCTTGTGTGTGTGTGTGTGTGTGTGTGTGTGTGTGTTTTCGTTGGTAGAGGTCTTCTTTAGATGTTTGGTATTTCTTAGATATGTACTCATGTTTTAATATAGGATTCTACACATCATTTAGCCAGTGATGGCGAACCTCTGACACGCGAACTCATTTTTTTGGTTGATTTTTCTTTGTTAAGTGGCATTTAAATATATAAAATAAATATCAAAAATATGTATTTGTTTTACTATGGTTGCAAATATCAAAAAATTTCTATATGTGACATGGCACCAGAGTTAAGTTAGGGTTTTTCAAAATGCTGACACACCGAACTCAAAAGGTTCGCCATCACTGATTTAGACTATGGAACCTTCTGGGTGGCAAAGTGGCTATAGTAACTTCCTGGTGATATGGCCAGAGATTCCTAGCAAAATGGTCTTGGAATAGCTTCTCATCTACTTTCTTTGAATTTCTAGTATAACCAAAGTTGCCTTTGTTAGCTGTTGGTATGTTATTAATTTATATCTTAATATTTGTTTGATGAGGCAGAGAAAGATTTAAGCTCACATTCAGTTTGCCATCCTTAAACTGTCTAAACTTTGAGTACCACTTAAAATGTCATAAAGCCCACATAATGAAATTAATATTTCTTTCTTGGTATTCACACAGCTGAGTTTATCTTCAAAATTTATGAATTTGAATTACTTTATAAGCTTCTTCACAATGTTTCTTAATCACAGTTTATTCCTTGTTGCATTTGTCATGATGCTATATATACAACATATACATACAGTAAATACTCTTTAACATTTTAAAAATTGAAATATTCATATAAGACATACCCAGATCATTAGTAAAGAGTTTAGATATAGTTGATGGTAATAAAAAGAAAAAAACTGTATATTTTACATTTATTATATTTCGCTTTCATATTCCAAAAATAATTTTTCAATTTGTCTATGATTTTAAACAACAATAAGATTTATTATTATTTTATACCAATGAAAAAGTAAGATGGTCTAAACAAAGGATAGCAAAGAATCAGAAAATCTGACATTTTCCCTTAGAGAAAGAACTGCCAATATGTAAATGACAAATGTTATTATGCATATTTATTATTTTTATTACTATTATTATTTAATCCTTACTTGAGGACATGCTCAGAGAGAGGAAGGGGGAGAAAGAGAGAGAGTGAGAGAGAAAGAGAGAGACAGAGAAAGAGAGAGCGAGAGAGAGAGAGAGACATCGATCAGTTGCCTTCCATACGTGCCCCAACCTGGCATCGAACCTATAACCCAGGTATGTGCCCTGACCAGGAATGGAACCAGCAATCTTTCATTGCACAGGACTACGCTCAAACAAATAAGCCACTCCAGCCAGGATATTATGCATAATTAATAATAATAAAAGCTAACATTTATGGATTGTTCACTCTGTAACACACTATACTAAGTACTTTATATACATTATTTTATTTTTTCAACAATTTTGCAATATAGACACTATTGTTATGTATAGAAGTGGAACCAAGGCTTTGAGAAGTTAGTTAGCTAACATAACACACAGCTATTCTTTGCAGCATCAGAATTTAAATCCAGTTCTCTCTGACTACAGAAGCTTATCTCGTAACTATTATGCTTTACTACCTCTGCTTTGAATTAATTCTTAAATATATAAAAGGAGAAAAATAATGTCAATCTAATTCTTAAATATGGTAAACATTAGTGACTTAATTTTTCAAAATATTTTGAAAGTTCCTTGGAAGACAGATATAATAGATAAATATTAAAAATTTCTGCATCAAATAACCTCGTAGTCCAAGTAAAGTAGACAAATTTGATAAATGCCAAAATAGAAGAGGAGAGCAAAGAAGATAGTAACCAAAGGCTGGCAGATATTTGAAGGTAGAATCGACAGATTGTTAGTTGCTTCTCCAAATCCATTTTCAACTCCTTTTAGGTGTCCAGCTGAAGACATGTTCTAGTCTCCCTTGTACCTATATGTAGCAACATGTGTAAATTATCACTAGTGAAAAGTAGTGTTGATCAGTTTTAGATCACATCCTTAAATAGTTACCATGAATCACTCTTCTCCTTTCCTCATGGCTAAAAAAAAGTGATAGTGAGAGAACTTTGGAAACTAGATGCTGGAGCCATTCCTGATAGCCTAATATGCTAATTAGACTGGATGTCTTTTGGATGTCCTTCCTGATGAAGCTGGGGCCACAGGGAAGCCAGCCGAGTCCGGTGCTTGCGGGTGGTCTGAGGGAAGCCAGCCTGGGTCCCAGGTGCCTGCTGGTGGCTGGAGGAGGGAAGCAGCCCAGGTCCTGGGTGCTGGAGGGAAGCCGGTGCCAGCAGCAAGGGGAAGGAAGGCCTACTCTTGCATGAATTTTCATGCATCGGGCCTCTAGCTGTAGAATAAAGCCCACCCTACCCTCAATGGACTGTTACATGAGGGAGAAAAACATCTTCAGCTGTTCTCAACCTGTGGGTCGCGAACAATGAAAATACATCCTGCATATCAGATATTTACATTACGATTCATAACAGTAGCAAAATTACAGTTATGAAGTAGCAATGAAAATAATTTTATGGTTGGGGGTCACCACAACATGAGGAATGGTATTAAAAGGGTCGCGGCATTAGGAAGGTTGAGAACCACTGAATTCTATGTTCTTTAAACTACTGCATTTTTAACTCCTTTGTTTTTATAGCAGTTTATTCTTTACACTAATAGATATAGAGGATATCTGGGAAAGGCCTCATAAAAAGCCAACATATAAAGAGTCTTATAGGAAACAAGAGAACAGGAGAAGAGAAGGTATCTAAAAAGAAAGACCACAGAAGGGAGAGAGCATGAACGTATCAAAGAATGTAAGCAGTTTTAGTCTAAACATTTATACAATGCTTAGTTTTTAACTTTGTACAGTGTAAATTTTTTTGTACTTAATACAAGGTAAAAATTTCTAGAAATACCAAATGATATTTACACTTAGTAAAATTTACAATTAGTAAAAGTGTAAACATTTCTAGAGCTACCAAAATAATAGGTAAATTAATTGTCAAACAGGATTTTGTTAAAAGTCAAATTGAGAATTAAGACATTTCTCCTCATATCTAGTCAATTTGAAAAGCAAAAAGATATTATTACAAAATAGTTTTCCTATTAAAAAAATTATTCTAAGAAACACACAATTTTATTACTTTAATGTTTTTTTATACCTACCACACAGAGCTCAAATAAAATGATTCCTAGAGACCATACATCTGATTTGGGGCCAGAAGGCAATGGTTTTTCATTTGGCACATGATCAGTCGTTTTGGAAATTCCTTGTGCAATTACCTCAGGTGCCAAGTATGATGGATACCTATAATGATATATTTAAAAAATGAATAATTACTATAAACAACAACAAAGCTAGGAAGAAGTAAAGAACATTTTATGTTTCAAAACAGTATTCATTACTTTGAATACTAGAAATGTAAAAATGTTCTAATAATATATAAATAAGAAGCTAAGACTCTCCCATCTCTGTGCTTCAGTCACTCATACATACTCATGTACATGTAAACTTGACCACCCATCACCACTGCCTAAAAGGCAGCATACTATACACATTACTCTATATATGCCATAGAGATCATTCTACAACAATAAGTAGAGCTTTGCCTCATTCTTTTTGAAAACTGTCAGAAACTGTGCATATGTACTTAATTTATTTGAGCAAACTCTGATGAACATTTTGAAAGTTCCTATTATAAACAATGTTGAAATGATTATAAATATTTCATTTCCCACAAATATATGTAGAGATAATAGACACATTTCTAGATGTAGCACTACAAAGTCATATGGTATATGCATTTAAAATTTATACACACACGCACACACATATATACACTCATATCTCTGTATATAAAAGCCTAAGTGACCACTTGACCAGTTACTATGATGCACACTGACCACCAGGAGGCAGACACTCAACGCAGGGGTTTCCCCCTGGTGATCAGTGAGCTCCCACAGCAGGAGCGCTGCTCAGCTGACCAACAGGTGCAAGATGCCGGGCTCATGGCTGGTGAGCGCAGCTATTGCGGTGCGAGCCTCTCCCAGGGACACTCTCCCTGTGTGCACCACCTTCATCCAGACCAGGACTGGGATCAGACCGGCACCGGCATCGGGACTGACTGGGCGTGAGCCCGCGCCTGTTTCTCAGTCATGAGTGTGCTGGTATCAACCTAGGACAGGCATGCGGAGACAGCAGAAGAGCAGCAGCAAGCCTACCGAGCAGCAGAGGTGGCAGGCACAGTAGGGCTGGGATGAGCGGGAGTGGCACCTGGCCCGAGCTCAGGCTCCTCCCCGGCCATCTGCTGCCTCGCGCACTAATGCATCCCTCGGGGGATGTTGGACTACCGGTTTCAGCCTGATCCCTGCAAGCCATGCCGAGGAACCCCCAATGGTGCATGAATCCGTGCACCAGGCCTGTAGTATTTATATATATATATATATATATATATATATATATATATATATATATCTATATATACACACACACACATATATATACTAGTGGCCTGGTGCATGAAATTCATGCACATTGAAAGGGAATTAATTAGAGGAATGTAATTTGGACTCACTATCTAATATCAATATGTGAGCGTGAGGCAGTCGTGTTTCTGAAATTCAATGACATGAATTTTAGCTATTACTTTGCCCAATAAATGGAATTTACAGATATCATTTAAAAGAGCATTCAGCTTCATATTAAAAACTCTGGCTACCAAGTCAGGTCTGTTTTCAACTTTTTGCCAGCGTTGGAAATTTTTTGCAGTATCTGCCCATTTGGGGTTGCATGTCATGGTTATGAATAAATCGGGCTTGCCATACTTCGTTACAATTGCCATAGCATCCTGATATCGCTGCTGCATATTTCTGGGACTACCCTCAAAAGATGATGGAAGTATTATCATTTTACCAATTGGCACATTGTCATTTTCAGATCTAGATTTGAGATAATCCATCAAACCACTATATTTTTCAACTCTCAACTTAGATTGGCTTGCTTTGATGAAATTTATCTGATTGGCCTCCATTTTAGAATATGAATCCATGATAAACTGTTAATTTTCCTGCATTTAAAATAGGATTGAACGTGTGCCGCACAGAGAGATGAAATCCATAATACTGCATTTGTGTGACTCGTGTCCTTACATTTTGTCTATTATTGTTTATTACACTGTTGTCTCTGAGTCTTAATGCAATGTCTGTTCCCCAGCCTTTTTCATCATGTGGGAAAAGAATAGGATATGTCATTGCATCTAACTAATGTAGGAAACAAGATATTGATTTGTTTCATTTTAGTTGCATTTGGGTTACTGGGTTCTGGTTTATAATGAATGAGCAAGTCCCTTTCAAAAGGAGGTTCTCCATCTTCGTTTCTGAATATGACAGCAACCTCGGTTACACGGGGAGAATTATATCTACCTGGGTCACTGTTACAATTGTATTTAATTGCCATTGTTACTTCTGTTTTAGCAATACCTTATGCTGCTACTTCAGATTAGGCTTCCTTTTCTACCTCATGTAGCATCTTGTACGATTTGTTAATTCATTTATTTCATGCATGAGGTTGTTGATGTTGATTATTAGTCTTTCTGAGCAGCCCTGGTTTTCTGGCATTGCTAATCTTTTACTTGTAGCTTCGGCTGTATCCAAAATATAGAGTTGAGCAAACGTCCGAGAAACACCATCCAAAGGATGTAAAGTTCCAGTACGGTGATAAACTTGTCCTTGTATTCTAAAACAGTATGGCCCATATCCTGATGGCGATGCAATATTTGCACCCATGGAAGGAAAGCAAAAGAACTATTTATGGAACAAATATTTTCCATGACATTTTTACTGTCAAAATCTTCGTTTGTCATTAATCTTTTTAAATATGTCGGGTAATCTGGAAAATGTATATCATTTGGACAGACTTTCCCTTTGCTACAACATTGAGTAAATTTCCCATCAGATGGTTTTTCATCAGAGAAATTTAGTGATACTTGTTGATGACTGTTCTCTAGACATATTCTGTCATTGCCACCGCCTTCTTTCAACTTCAAAGGCACATTGGTCTTCAGACATTTTCTGTCGATGACGCTGGTGTTTTTCGGCATCAGAGCGACATTTTTCCAATAGCTGCTCTTCAGATACATTCTGTTGCAGGCGCCACCTTCTTTCAAGATCAGACGCACGTTGCTCTGCAGACATTTTCTGTCGATAATGCCGGCATCTTTCAGCTGCAGAGCTACGTTGTATTAAAGTTGTTCTTTAGACATAGTCCCACCTCTCTACTGTCACGGTCTGAGATGCAGGTGAATGACAGTCCTGGCTGTCAGGCCCCTGAGAGCTGTCTGACCAACAATTGATTCTGGCTGATTCTGTGGGGGTGGGACTTCCTCCTCCCTGCTGTCAGTTTCCACAGCTGTGATGAGGAAGCTGGGATGAAAGAGGGAGCCACACCCTCCATGCCACTCTCTCTCTCGCTCTGCACTATGTCCAGCAGCCTCCTGCTCTGCCAAGTCCTCCAATCCTCCCACTCTCCACCTGTTCTCCCGCTCTGCTCTCCACCAGCGAAGGTCCCGGGAGCGCACAGGCATGGCTAGGCACGGCCGGCCTCGCCTCCTGGGGCCGACGAAGGTCCCGGGAGCCCGCAAGCGTGGCTAGGTGTGGCCGGCCTCGCCTCCAGGGACCGGCAATGGTCCCGGGAGCCTGCAGCCGCTGTCGCCTCCTGGGGCACTTGACACCTGCGTATGCAAATTAACACGCCATCTTTGCCAGGTTAATTTGCATACTCACTCTGATTGGCTGGTGAGTGTAGTGGAGGGGCGGTTAATTTACACGTTTCTCTTTTATTAGATAGGATATCACCAAGTTGCTCTTTCAGGTTGTATCAATTTATATTCTTATAAGCAATACATGAGAGTGACTCTTTCCCCTTACCTTCATTCACCAACATAACAAGTTTTCTTGAAAACTGTCTTAGTAAATAATAAATAAATATTTGCTAAAGACAGACTATTAAATATGAATAAAGTATAAAAAAATAAAGTTCCAATGAACAACTGTGTACTTGCCAAGCAATTTAAGTAAAGAACATCTTATTATCACTAAAGGTCCATCTCTGCTTCTCCCTAATTGTGTCTCCCTAGTATCCCCCAAAAGAAACACATAGCTGAAATTTTTGTGTTTGTAATTCTCTTCTAATTATAGTCTTACCATATATTTGTATCCCTAAAAAGTACATTGTTTAGTCATACATATTTCTGAATTTAATATTACTGGTCAGTATTCATTTGTGATTTGCTTTTTCAATCAACATTTATTTGAAAGTCATCAATATTGTTGCATGTAGCTATAACATCATTAATTTTTTAAAAATATATTTTATTGATTTTTTACAGAGAGGAAGGGAGAGGGATAGAGAGTTAGAAACATCGATGAGAGAGAAACATCGATCAGCTGCCTCCTGCACACCCCCTACTGGGGATGTGCCTGCAACCAAGGTACATGCCCTTGACTGGAATCGAACCTGGGACCCTTCAGTCCGCAGGCCGACGCTCTATCAACCGAGCCAAACCAGCTAGGGCAAGTCATTAATTTTTACTTCTATTCTATGAATAATATAATAATTGATGCATTCTAATATCAATTGTTATTTAAATTTTTTGATGTTTTTAAAATATTATAAAGTGTTGCTCAGAATATTATGTACAGTGTACATCTGCAAAAGTTTTCCCAAGAGTATAAACCTAGGATTTAATTTCTAAGCCATAGAACACGTGCAATTTTAACTTTATATCATCACAAAGATTTTTTGAAAGGCTTTGTATCCATTTATATTCCCACTAGCAGTATATGACAGTTCCTGTTCATTATTTCTTCTCTAACACTTGATAGTGACAGTCTTTCTAATCTTTGACAATTTGGCAATTGAAACATATATATATATATATGTGGCCCTCCACCCACAGCCCCTCCCTTCCCCTCTATCCCTCTCCCTTCCTCTCTGTAAAAAATCAATAAAATATATTTTAAAAAATCAGTTGGAAAGTAAAGACTGACGTGAAATATTAACAATGTACCTGAAAGAATCATTAATTTTTAAAATCTTTTTAAAAATGGGGTGTATAAAGGTGATACTTCACTGAACACCTTGTCCTGCATTAATTCATCTGGGCTTGGCCTTGAGAAACATTTAAAATACAGAGCATGAACGAAAGTCATTAGAATTTTCCTAGAATAATGGCACACATTCAAAGGAATAGTTAAAAGTCTTAAATACCTCATTAGCACATCCTATATAATAAAAGCCAATATGCTAAG